GTGGCTAGCGCCCACAACATCGGAGCAATGCGGCATCCTTGCCGCACTCCCCTGCCAACCGACACACGTGCAGAGGACGCAGAGACTTTAATGTGGTAATACATCTCCCGGTGCCAGCTTATGATGAGATGGTAAAGGTCGCTGGGCACACCAGCCTCCTTCAACGAGTCACTGATGAGCGGCCACTCCAAGCGATCAAACGCCTGCGAGAGGTCAAGCGACAGTTGAATCGCACCTCCTCTGAGCTTGCTGGAGCGACGATCCTTCTCAGAGCCAGTCACTGTGAGATCAGTCGCCCACCTGACATTTTGTATATTATATGGTGCGGCTTCGCACATCCCTTGCCCCTCCTTACAATGAAGGAGCACGCGTATCAGTGCCTGGTCCGTGGCTCGATCCACGAGATACGCATACTGAGGATGTTGGCTGAGAAACGCCATCACATGTGGCCTGAGCTGATGCTGGATTAAACCACAGACAACACGTCCTGATATCTCAGAAATGCCAAGAGGACGCAGCTGACGAGGCAGAGTGGGCGCCGAGACCTTGGGTAAGAGAGACAGCCACGTGTCCTTCCAGAGCTGTGGAATGCTAGTCGCCTTTCGGAGGGTGTTTGCCAACCAGGGACCCAGTTGGGCCGAGCAGGCCACCCAGATCGAAGTGTGGGCAAGATGCGCTGGCGCAGCCTTGTGCGGCGAGAGACGCCGTAAGGCAGGAGTCACCAATTCAGGATTTAGACAAGCGAAGAGACCATCACAGCAGTCAGAGCGCAGAGGATCAGACAGAGACGGTGAATCCTGATGTCCCGACGTGTAGAGATCGGTATAAAAGGACCTGAGCACCTCAACTTGCTCTGGATGCGAGAGAATTTGTCCCTGGGCACCACGTAATTGCAAAGTTTTGCGTCGCTGTTTCGGACAAATACGACTGGCCAACTGAAAAAGAGCGCGAGTGTCGCCTTTGCTCGCGCTTTGCTCCATGCAAGCCACCTGAGTACGCAGCCAGGCAACTTTGGCGTCCCTAGTGGCGCGACGGAAAGCACGATGCGCCTTCCGAAACCTCGAGAAAGCCACCCAGGCCTTCCAAACACAGTTCCGATGCAAACTGGAGGTTTGTCTCCAGGTGTGATAGGCTAGCCACATGCTGCGCACCGACAGCCCAACCTGTGGCGCCTGCCATGGAACAACACGTTGATGTTGTACTTTGCCAGGGAAAACCTCCATCGCACACGCATGGACCTCTTCAACCGTCGCATCAGAATGTGACCGTAGCCAGCCGGAGACCTTCTCATTTAGTGCACAAATCTGAGGGTGCTGTGGATTCCGACAAACCTGAGCAAGTGTAACCCGATCAAGAACACAAGATCTGGGGCCACGAGATCTAGCCAGTTGACGAACATCTGGCAAGCGACAGCTGACACAGACCGGGAGGTGGAAGCCACCTTGCCTCCACTTGAAGAGGGGCCATGTGACCGGCCCTGCCCGCCGAGAAACCGCATCTCCCAGAGAGCGACGTACAAAGATGTGATCAATAAGAGAGAAGTGAGATCCATTACGGTATGTAGGCTTCGCAAACCTGGTCCACGAGTTGAGATGAAGAAGATCATGATCGGCAATGATGTCAGCTAACTCGTTCACATCCTGAGGACGAGCTGCATGACAAAAGGACGCTCGAGCACCAACCCGCTTGGCCATTGGCAGCAGTGGCGTATTAAAATCACCTGCCATGATGACAACATGTCGGCTCGGAAGAGACCGAAGAAGACGCTGAATGGAGGACCACACCTCGCGCCGAATAGTGCGCGCCGTAGTGCCCAGAACAGAACCTTTCTCTGCTGGAGCAAGGGAGGTCGTCATAATTTTCTGGTAAATGTTGACAACATCAACAATGGCACCATCAAGAGTCAGTCTAACATGTTGCACCCTTCCTGGAACAGGGGAGGTGTGCAATATGTCCCCAGCATCACAAAGAGATTGTGAGATCAAGACAGCAACTCCACCGGCTTGGGGCGATTTAGTGCTGGAGCTAATAACACGCCAACCAGGGGTGTCGAACTCAGAGTCCTCCTTCCAATGAGTCTCCTGTAAGAGGACCAGATCGGGACGGTGTGGCTCTGGGAGTCCCTGCAGAAACTGAAGAAGTTCCGCATACGCCACCTGTGACAAGCCACCAACATTGTAAGTGACAAGTTTGAGACGTGCACTATCGTTGGACTGAATCGGTAGAGTATGACGCGGTACCCGCACCTGCGCCGGGGGCGTCCGACGTTTGCCAAGTAGATCCTTAACACTACACCATCGACCACGATAGTGAGTACCAAGAAGTGGACTGGCAGCCGCGCGTCGGCAGGCACGATTGAAGGCTCGTTTACGAGGCTCAGTGTGAGCCTCAAGAGTCGGGAAACTGGCAAGAGTGCTCGCCCAAAAGAGGAGGCTCCTACAAGGCAAGGAGAAGGAGCACCTGGGCATCGAGCATGTAGTCTTGCTGGCAGAAAGAGCAGGACACGTGGTACCGGATCGTGCCGAAGTAGCGGATGCAGGGAGCAGCTGCTCAAACAAGGCACCACACCTGGGGTTTGTCCCATGGTCCATCGTTGTACTGAGATTGCAAGCGAAATGACTAGAGTTCAGGAGGCGGCCGCTAGAGGCAGCACCGTGGTAAAATCGTCCGAGCTTTTCCACCCATTCAAGACACAGATGTCTAGTTCCACACCTCGACAAGGCAGGCAAATGAATGGATTCAGGGTGTGTGGAGCACCCAACCCTCGGCTCAAGAGAGCTGTCCTGTGAAGACACATACTGGCCGGTACCAAGAATAAGGTTGTGAGCTGAGGCCAGTGCGAGACTTCTATTTGCAGCTCCCTGCCCGGATTTGGGACCGGGTCCAGCGACATGAAAAAGTGATTCATAAAAGGATGCAGTGGAGTCCTGTATGGCAATGAACCACCTGGCAGTCCATGGGAGAGAGCACCTCTCACCAGCGAAGAGACCACGTTGTGCGGCGAGCATGAAAAGATTCGGCATACACCGAACAGCATCAAAAGGATAACGAAGGAAGACGCCAGCCTGATCGATGGCCACTGACTCCAATAGCGCCCTCAGAGAGAGCAACAACAAGCGAGAGCAGAGCCGCCGAAAAAGCTCAACAGAGAAGCACCGGGCCAGGGCCAGAAACATAGGAGGGACCCACTTCAAAGATGACATTCTCTTCCTGTGCCGATGCCTCAAAGACCTAGACCGTACCCGAAACTTCGAGACACGAAGTTGTAGCCCAAGGCATCTCCGCACTCGCGTTATTTTATTCATGAGAGCGCTGGGGCACGGGGATCCACATGTACACGGCGGAAGACCCTCATATCGAGAGAAAAACCTCTCCACATCAGCAGAGGTCCCGGGGCCACAGAGCGAGGAAGAAATAATATCTCCAAGGAGAAATGGTAGTCGCATCACTCTATGTGGAATCCCCAGATTCCGAGCCAGCGGTCTGGTCTCTATCAAGCGTGGAAGCAGCCCGTCGTAGTAGCTCCGCCACCGGCATGCCCGCAAGCTGCCGCATAGTGGCCTTGTCCAGTCGACGGCACTGGGTGCTTCGTGGCGAGGCAGACGACTCAGCAACGGTCGATGCCACGGCACTGCCAGCCATGGGCGGATTCGTTCCTCCCTCAGCATCCGCGCGCACACCCTCCAGAGCACGACCCGGGAGAGAGAGGGCAGCACCATCCTCCGCCCTGAAGAGGTCCGCCACATCAGCCAGTCGACTCCGAGCTCGCTTTGCATTCCTTGTGGAAACCCCCAAGCCCTCGCCAACGGACAGTGCCTGTCGGACCTCGTCCCCTGCTCGGTCAGCCCTCTCAGACATCGCGCCAACAGAAAGATCCGAGGTCGGATCCGAGGTGGACATAATCCAGGGCCCAACCAGTAGGAAGACACCAAGAAGCTCTGCCCGGCAACGAAGGGACCAGCATGGAATAAAGGGGACGCAGTAGAGTCTACACAGAGCAATGACATCCAGCGGATAGCGGCAGAACAGCTGTGAAGAGCAAACTTGTTACAGCCTACTCGGCACCAAGACTGAGACACCAGCTTGGCGCAATGCCATACCTCCAAGTCGGACCTGTACAGAGCCATGCAGGCAACCTGACTGATAATCCTCACATCCCAAAAAGGAAGTGGAGCCGGGCCAGTCACAGAAGCGGCCAGACCTGAGAGCATATTCTGAGGGAGCATAAGTAACAGGTGCACAGAAGCATCTCCCTGCAGAAACAATCAAGCAAGGCGCCATGTAAGCCGTCGAGTTCTGGCGAGCACTGTCCGAGTGCAACATGCGGAAAATCAGATCACCCGGAGCTGCGGCAGCAACAGGTGAGACAGAGACGCAGGCCGGCTCAGGCTCCACCTCAACCTCCACCATTTCATGGTTAACTGTAGTAGAAGGCACACCGGAGTCGTGCGTCTGGTCCTTGGGCTGAGGTCGACGATCAGGAGCAGAGAAGGAAGAAGAAGGATGCGACTCCACCACCGAAGACAGTGCAGCAGACGTACTCACCTCCTCCTCAACAAACCAGATGCTGGGTCGACGTGGGCGCTCAGGGGAACGAGCTTGTCGTGGTCGGTGAGGAGGCGGATTGGCCAACAGTCTTGTCAAAGCATGCTTCCTCAGGGCACGCTTCCTCTTTAAGGGAAGAGATGGTCCCAGACCCGCCGGTTCCACCCTGTTCTTGGCAGAAGCAGAGATCCGCCCCTTATCCGCCACGGCAGATGTACCCGCCGCACCATGCTTAGCAGTATCCAGAGCAGCATCCCTCGCAGAGGCAGGGGCCTCAGACACAGCATCTCCAGCACCCTGACATTTGAGATCGTGCCCAGGCTGGGAGGCATCTGACATAGGCTTTCGACTAGTCCACGACTTGGAGGCAAGCCAGCCAGGTGGCGGTGTGGACGGCTCACAAACGACCAGGACCGGCTGAGGCTCGTGGTTGGCTACCGGAGGGTCAGGATCCCCTGCAGTATTACCAGCGATCGTAGAAGTGGGCTCCTCACAAGTCATGGGAGTGGCCTCCGCTTCGACAGCCCCCCAAGACGGAGGAACAGAATAAACCGTCAGCGGTCGAGGGGTGCGATAGAAAGCCTCCTTGGGGGTCACTGGAGCTGGCCGAGTGACACGACGCCTCGGGAGGGGAGACCTGCCTCTGGGATCCGGCGGGGCCCATAGAAAAGGAGCCGGGACCGTCGCTTTGGGCATCTTCTTCGGCTTGGGCAGAAGCTTCCCATCAGCAGAGATCTGCGACGGGTCCGGAGTTCTCGGCCTCTTCTTTGGCTTGGGCAGGAGCTTCCCATCAGCCGAAATCTGCGCAGCTGGTGTTAGAGTGGCAGTCACATGTCCACTCGTGACATTACTCCCCGTCGCTCCATCCGCAGTGTAGACCCTATTCAGCTGACCAGGTCTCTGCTTCTGTCTGGCCAGTCGCTTGGCTTTGCCCATGCTTTGAGAGAGCCCCAAGGAGTCAGATCGACCCGCGAAGGCAGGAATCCTCCGACTTTCCCGCCTCGAGCCCTGTAGGTGTACGCCGAACACAGATGACAATTGCAGGTAAGCTTCAGATGCAATCAGCGCAGTGCAACTGACTCTATCATTGACACAGATACAGGCCATCAGCCGAGAAGACAGGGGCCCGACAGGAAGAGAACAGAGTAGTTCAGTGCGCTCCGCCACAGACCTGAGTAGACAATGCGACATGCAAGAGAGGCCCATCAACGATGGAATATGTTGCCAGCACCAGGGGAGTGGCGATGGATTCCTGTCCAGACCCAGAGGTACGGTGCAGCGCCTGACCACGGATAGGCAGCAAGGAGGGCTGCAGAATAGCCCCCTCATCGGGGCCCTGATGCAGGCAAAGGAAGGTAATGTGGCGCTTTTGCAACAGCAACAGCAGTGCCAAGCACAGCAGCCACGCCGACTTCCAGCTGTGGTATGTAAAAACCAAGGATCCCTGGCCAACATCTCAGAGCACAGATAGGCCTTACGCAGAGTCCAACAGCCTGAGGGTAAGATACACGGTAACATTCCCAGTCTCCGATTGGGATGGCTCAAGCGTGCAGACGCCACCCGAGGAAGAGGCAGGCACATCATGCACCGCGATCTCTGAAGGCAAGGTGACCACACTTGAACGCATGCGAGGACATAGTGATCCAGAGACACGGTGAGGGCTGCGACTGCGGGCTGCATCGATAGCAGTGCACTCTGTTCCATCAGCATCTGCCAGGGGTGCCGCCTCTTTATCAATGACGAGCTGTTTCCAACCTCGAAAAACCGGTAGCATAAGGTCCGTACAGGCTCCCACATGGTCCACCTCCATATCCGTGGGGGAGGCTGCCTCGACCATCCGACCCTGCTCACTTTCGGGACCCATTGTGCAAGGCTTGTCCACCATGCTAATGCTCGCCAAGTGGTGTCTGGACAACAGCAATAACAGAGGCTCGAAGCAAAAGGCAGCGATGATCCTTCCCTAAGATGCAGAGGAGAACATGCACTACAGGCACCCAAGGCAGGACACTTCCGAGCACCCAGCCAACCCTCAACAAAAGCCCGCCTGGTCTTCGGCCTTGGTTGGAACCCAGTACACGAATGTGCAGGCATGAGGGAATGTGGATCAATACAGGCATCACACATGAGATGTTTCCACACAGCCAGTCCGTGGCACCAAGGTGCATTCACTTCCAGAGTATACAGGAAGACAGGAGTAGCCCAGACTGATGCACATGACAGCATCTCAGCCGGTCGGCTCATCCCGGACCAGGCGGAGCTTGAGAGTGACATTGATTGTGCCCCTCGGGGGCACACGTATCTCAACATGATACTCAGAGTCATCCGTAGGCCGCCGTGCTTCCTCATCTTGATCCACCGAGGCACCAGCAGCATGCTCCAAGGCTGCACCCCTGGTCTCAAGGACAGCCTGTTGCCCTCTGGGCGACCTGCTTCGACGGCGCACATCCGGTGGCTGGTCGCGCGGTCCAGTGATCTGCGGAGTCGTTGGATTGGCATTCCCGGACACAGGCACTGGCCGAGGTGGACCGAATTTCTCTCCCCGCGCCGCTCGCTCCCGACGATCCTGGACATCCCTCTCGAAGTCAATCCTCTCCGCGGTGGTGAGCTCGGCCATCGCCTGTTCCGAAAGCGAGATGCTCGGCGGACTGACACTGCCCCAGGACTCGGCACCCTCACCAGCATCAGCAGACGCCCTGGGTCTTGGAGAGGCGCCGGACATCGCAGCAAGGCCCTCCGAGGGAGTGCAAAAAGCCAGAGGCAGTGTGATCCCGTAACAGAAGAGAGAATTGCTCGAACCACATCAGGGCAGAAGGCCGGAGGTCGCTTCGCAACAGCAATGGCAGAAGAGCAGTAGCCGTCAGTACCTTCAATCCAGCAAGATCCCTGCAATCTAATTGCCATGTGCAACAGGGCAC